TGTATTTGCACTTAAGATGTAAAGAGTGTTGAGTTTATGTCAAAAATGTGAAGTGCACGTAAAAAATGTGAAGTTTATTTTGAGAGTGTCATGTGAGGGTAATATAAGAAAAAATATGAGATGTAATAAGATAAATTTTAATTGAAAAATAAATATTGAGTATATTAAGTATATAATGTGTATTCATCAATATGTGAAGTGTTAGTATAATAAGCCTTAATGAAAATAGTCTCTCAAACTGTGTTCTTAACCAAAAATATTTAACCAACTTTGTTTAATCATAACGACGAATTCATTAAATGTTTCCCTTTTTTTCAGTCATCTTCTCTCCTCTGCAACTTTGAGTCATAAACCAGCAGCACCTTGTTTACTCCATCTTTGGTCTACCTACGTTGCCTCTCCAAGACTCCACCATCACCACTCTTCTTCTCTCTGTACTACCCAGTACCTAGAAAACCTGAAGACAAAATGTTCCTCTCCCAAAATAAAATTGTGATTGAAACAAAAACAAATAAATTATACATCATATAAATTAAAACTGATTAGATCCATTATCTTTTCTAAGCAAATCCAAAGTTTCCAAATCATAATATCAAATTGCTCAATGACACAAAAATAAATTGGTGAGTGGCAGTAGGACAATTACTTAGGGTTTATATCTGCACCCATAAGTTCGTCTAGCATATTGGGATTGCGAAGGAGAAAACAACACGAAACTGGTTTGGGATGTGGTGGTAGAAGAGAAGAAGATAAGTGGTGGCGGATGCGACCACGGTGGAGAAGGGTGTATGCCGTCGTGGTGGGTGTTTTTAAGCTTTTTTTTTTTCTTTTCAGTTTTTAAATTGTTTATTGAAAGGTGATATTGATATTTAGAGGCTGAATATATTTATGGGGTCAACTTAAATGGGACGAGGAGTGTAAATAGAAAAACTATATTCCTTATTCACAATTTCTCTTTAATTCTTCAGGAAACTTGTACGCCAACAATTGATTAATTTCCAACCATCAACAGATGATTGCAAACACCAACAGATCAACTAAACCCAAACTCTTCATTATCCTCTGTTTTCTGGATTACTAGACTTCATGCAAGCGCTCACGTGCGTGCAAAAAGCATTTTTTGAATCACGGCGTGTTACGTCGACTTACACATTTTAAATGTATTTATATGCGTTTTTTGACAAAAAGAAAGTCAAATATTTGAAGTAAATGAATAATTTTAGATTATGCTAGAAGAAACTCTCAAAAACCAATTAAAGCAGCTGAATTCACATAATAAAATCGGTTTCTATAGAATTAACATTAAGAATAAAGAAAATAATATTTAATAAACAATTGATTGAATCACATTATTGTTAGCCTATTGTGAGGCTAAGTCCACCCCCTAGTATAGATAATATTGTTTGTTAAAAAAAACACAATCATTTGACAATTAATTTAATCACATTCTTATCTGTGTGCGAAAGACCTTTTTTATAAAGAAAATAATATTTAATAAACAACTGATTGAATCACATTATTGCTAGCCCATTGTGAGGTACTATTAAAAAAATTAAAAAAAAACTTTACTAATTTATCAACGGCATTGCTTTCCTCTTAAGATGTTTTGAACACAATATTCATGATTTTCCTTTTTTTTTTTATTATATTTTTCTTTCCCCTTCACGTGGGCACCATCAACTTTCACTCATCCTTCCATTTTTTTATTCTTTTCTTCCCACTTATATTTATATTATATTTTATGATGACCAAATTACCCTTGCATTATTTGATATATTATATTGGGCCACTTGGATTTTTTTGGTTGAGGGGCAATTTTGTCCTAATATTTTTCTCGAAGCCGTGACACCAAAACTAGCCTCCGGCTTTATATATACACTAGCATTCATGCACGTGCTCACACGTGTGCAGAAGACATTTTTTGAATCACGGCGTGCTACACGCGACTTACACGTTTTAAATGTATTTATATGCGTAAATTGACAAAAGAAACGTCAAATATTTGAAATAAATGAATAATTTTAGATTATGCTAGAAGAAACCCCTCATAAACCAATTAAAGCAGCTGAATTTACATAATAAAATCGGTTTCTATAGAATTTACATTAAGAATAGAGAAAATAATATTTAATAAACAATTGACTGAATCACATTATTGCTAGTCCATTATGAGGCTAAGCCCACCCCCTCCCCCTAGTGTAGATAATATCGTTTGTTAAAAAAAAATCATTTAACAATTAATTTAATCACATTATTATCCGCGTGCAAAAAACTTTTTTATAAATAAAATAATATTCAATAAACAACTGATTGAATCATATTATTACTAGCGCATTATGAGGTACTAATTAAAAAACAAAAAAAAAACTTTACTAATTTATCATCTGCACTATACGGCTTTTAAAATATTTTGCACACAATATTCATGATTTTTCTTATTTTTTCTTATATTTTTCTTTCCTTTTCACATGGGCACCATCAACTTTCGCTCATCCTTTCATTTTTTTATTCTTTTCTCTCATCTCACTTTTATTTATATTATATTTTATGATGACCAACAAATTACCCCTACATTATTTGATATATTATATTAAGCTACTTTAGAATTTTTTTGATTAAGCAGCAATTTTATCCTAACATTTTTGTCGAAGTCGTGACATCAATACTGACCTCCTGCTTTATATATAGAAGATTTGCTTCAAAAGTTGCTTTTTGACCGTTCGGGGCATTTTTCTTTATGATTAAAGCTTAACTTTTTAGACAGCAAGTGGAGCATTTTTTGAGAAGCTTTAGTGTTGATGCCGAAAGAAAAATGACAGATTATGCATGAAACACGAGTTTTGTGCAATGAATCTAAAAGTGGTAGACAGGACTCAAATTTGTTGCTGATCTTCATCTCCGTCTATAAGATTTCAGAAGCCATGTACAAAAATTATAAACGCCTTTTCATTCCGTTACTATGCATGAGTCCTATTTACATAATCTCACTAAAGTATACTAAAATAGTAAAAAAATTATCATCTATTAGTATCATAATTAAAAGAAAGGTTAGGATCTGGAGACATGCACTTTTGATACACATTTTGACACACATTTTTGTAGAACCTCATTCCATAATGTATTTTAGCAATCACAACCGTTCATCTTAAGATCATATCAACCAAAAATCACCCAATCCCAAACCATATGTCGTTGAATTAAATTTAATGTTTCTTTGTAGAATTGTATTCGGCCATTATCTTCCCTATAAATGAATGTCTTAATGGTTTTGGATTTGTCTAATTTTTTGCAAGGATGATCAATGAATCATGTACTAAAATATAGAAGATTTAGATTTTTAAAATACATTACGAAGTAGACTCTACAAAATAAATGTCTAAATGTGTGTAAAAAATGTGTGTCCTGAATCTCAACCCTTATACCCAAAAAAAAAAAAAAATGTGATCACAAAACCATTAGCACACATGAAAAAGAAACCATGAAACCAAAAATAATGATGAATAAATTAAGTAGAAACTAGAAACACCTAATCAAATTACAAAACAGCAATTATGGTAAGACCTAAATTAAGGATAGTTTAATTTCCCGCAACATATGAAATTAAAGTCTTAATATATCATGTGATCAATCAACAAAATCATTAGTGAACATGTAAAAAAAAAAAACCATGAAACAAAACAAAATGATGAATAATCAACAACAAAAACGTGTCTTTCTAGATCCTAATCTAAAAAAAATTAAAATTATGTGATAAATCAACAAAATCATTAGGGTATAAAAGAAACCAAAAAACAAAACAAAATGATGCATAAATTAAAGTAGAAACTATAAACACTTATCCAAATTGCAAAACAACAGTTATAGTAAGACACAAATAAAAGCAAGTCTTTAATTTTCTGCAACAAATGATATTAAAGCCTTGATCTCACTACATATCTCTCTACTCTCCCTCGGCAAACAAGAAACAAAATAATCAAATCTCATAGTTGATTAATGGGGACCTTTAGATGTGGAGGCTCTGTGCAATTGCACAAGATACTCCCCCTTAATGCTGGCACTAAGTACTCTGTTATTGTTATTGTCTTTTAGTAATCATGGTTTTCGTTCATATGATTAAGCTTTAAACAAAGTCTATCTTGTGGAAAACTTTGATGCCAAAAGCAAAATGACAGATTATGCATGAAACACGAGTCTTGTGCAATGAATCAAAAAGTGGTAGATAGGAAAATAATTGTTCACAGATATGACCAAATAATTGTTCGTAGATATGTCCTGATAATTGTTCATAGATATGACCAAATTATTTCAAGCAAGATTCCAATCAAATTTGCATGTACACCACTCAAAAAAATTCCAATTGTTCATAGACATGTGTAAAGGACAACAACTTTAAACAAAGCCGATTGTTTGGAGCTTTAACTTTTAGACAATAGATCGAGCCTTTTGAAGAAAGCTCAACTCTCGAACATTGATGCCAAAAGAAAAATGCCAGATAATGCATGAAACAAGATTTCCAATCAAATTTTCATGTACGCCACTAAGATTTCCAATCAAATTTGCACATACGCCACTAAGATTTCCAATCAAATTTTCATGTACGCCACTCAAAAAGGTTCCAATTGTTCATAGACATGTGTAAAGGACGAGAACTTTATACAAAGCCAATTGTTTGGAGCTTTAACTTTTAGACAATATGTCGAACCTTTTGAAGAAAGCTCAACTCTCGAACATTGATGCCAAAAGAAAAATGCCAGATAATGCATGAAATAAGATTTCCAATCAAATTTTCATGTACGCCACTAAGATTTCCAATCAAATTTTCATGTACACCACTAAAAAAAAAAAATCCAATCGTTCATAGACATGTGTAAAGGATGACAACTTTAAACAAAGTCGGTTGTTTGGAGCTTTAAAGCTTAACTTTTGGACAATATGTGGAGCTTTTTGAAAAAAGCTAAACTCTTGAAAATTGATGCCAAAGCAAAATGCCAGATAATGCATGAAACAAGATTTCCGATCAAATAATCAGGGATATTTTTCTCATTACTTCTCTTACAGAAATACAGGACCCAATAGTTATACATGCTTGCTGGCTCAGACTAAAACATTCAGGACAAATTTATAAATAATTGATGAACTGCAACAGGGCAAATAGATGATGATGAGAGGAATAAAGGTTTAGTTGGTCCAAGAGGGATAAGGGCAAAATGTTTAAAAATGATTAAGATGTTGTTGGTTACATAAATGTAATCCTTCACTTCTTGGTTTAGGGTCTCCTCTATTCTTAACTAATCCATAATTGACAGCTGTGATAAACTTTCAGGCCAGTATAGTCCACTACCAATGCCATTAATATTGTCTCACTTACCCACCTATCAAAGAATTTGAGAAATAAGAGATTGTGTTTTAATTAATTCACAATTAACTCTTTTTTATTTATGATTTTGATTCACTCTCCTTTATCATTAACTGTAATTTAATTCTCTCTTCCCCTAACACTCATACTTCTAATTTTCTCGTCTCCTTTCTTTTTTTTAAGAAAACTAGATTTTAATTTTTAAATAAGATGGAGTTTAGAAAAATGTCTTATTCAAGATTAAAAATTGATTTTAATTCCTAGACTCTATTTAATACCAGTAATATATATTTAATGTCTATTTTTTTATTTATAATTTTATGGTGTTCATAAATAAAATTTTAAGATTATATTGTAAATTTTAGCTCTTATAGAGCAATACAAAAACATGCTTCAAAGCTGGTGAAAAGAAGCCCAACCTGCAGATCAAGAAGAACCAAACCCATCCTGAACTCCACAAATCCGATCCTCAGACGAAAACAAACGCAAGCGAATGCCCAGAACCAAGCTGTAACCAAAAAGGTCAGGTGGTGTAAACACCATTCTAAAGTGATAACAGGCCTTTGTAGGGGTGACAACATATAGTTGTCTCTGACCGGAAGCAGCATATACGAGATGAGATGAAAACCCCCAAAGCTGGAGTGGAAGGCAATGGCGAGTATGAGGAATTGGAGAGCAGATTCGAGGTATTGGAGCGCGTCTACAGTAGACATTGGGTGGACCGTACGGAGAGACTCCGGGAAGACGAAACGATGCCGTGCCAAAAATTGTGCGATTACCGCGTTCCATACATAACTAATTAGCCAACAGACCAAATACAAATTATATAACACAGACAATCACAAACCCAGCCCTGTAATTTATAAATTATAAGTAAATAAGTCAAGTACCGAAAACATGAATAAAATCATCACAAATAAACCCATTTCTTCAAATGCTTAATATCATCAAAAGAAAAGAAATATTCGAGAAACCCAATTGGGAACACCACAAAAATGACATCAGTATCACCGTAATTAAGGAATGGAGGGTTCGGAGGTGGACTCGGCGTCCATGGCCCGGACGATTTGAAGTTAAAGATGGAGGAATGGAGGGTGGTGGCCTCGGGGCCTGGGTGTTTGTTGCCGTTGTCGGGTTGGTGGTGGTGGTGGCTGTTGGGTCGAAAAGAGAGGAAGAGGAGGACGGGGTGTTTCTGGGTTGGTTCAGTTGGAAATTTTTATTATGCGTAATTTATTTACTTTTAACTCTTTTCAAAAGTATTTTAATATTAAATTTAGGACAAGGATTGTCTGTCCTCTCACTTTCAGTGCCATCTCGTGCCCTCCTGTTTTGTGTGATCACAGTTAAACCATGTTAATATTTTATATTTTTTTTATAGAGATAATAAGACAAAAATGAATAGTAATATAAAATGTTAACGTGGTTTAACCGTGACCACACAAATAGGAGGGCACGGAAGGACATAGGAAGTGGGAGGCAGACAACCTTTATCCTTAAATTTAACCCTTAGTTGGTGGGACACATGGTAAGTTATAAGAGAGAGGGGAGCATCATCAAAGATAGCGGTGGTAAGCTAAAATACTTTTAAAAATAATGAAATGAGTATCGTCTTTGTTAAAGAGATATCAAATAGTGAAATGAGTATGACTATACTTATCACATTTTTATCATTTTTCTAATAAGGATAGAGTCCACAACACATATGAATCTCATATATATTAGAAAAATAATATAATTCTAATATGAAAAATATGATAAGAATATCATTTTTGTAATAAAATCGTTCGCAAGTACATATTTTATATTGGTGACCACATTACCGATTGCGTTGTTGACCACCTTTATACGATACATGGGTCTCATTTCCACAGGTGGTTTCGTAATATATATAGGCAATCGACATTGCTGGAGCAAATTATCTTCTACAACGAGTCACGACCTAGCAAGAGAAATGAGTAGGCCTTCTGTAAGACTGCAGCTTACTAAGCTTGTTTTTTACCATATTCTACTTTGGCAACTTGGACACTGGCCTCAATCCAAATTCTACTGTAGAGCCTACGTGGCTCCACTGCCACCAGATGAAGGTATTCATTACCAATTTCACTCCATCTGTTTTAATCATCAGCCAACTTTCTAATTATATCGCCTTCAAACACATGTTTAATTAATTAATTTCAGCTAAGAGGCCTGATCATCGTATTTATTAATTACTTACCGAAATATTGTCAGTGTCTGTTCTTCAAGCCATTACGAGGGACTTAGAATTCAAGCAACAATCAACCATTACAAACAACATATGTGATGGAACATTTTATGCTTTTACAATCAGTTGCAATTGCAATGACGAGAATCAATGCCGCATCTCTAAAATGTATGTATGAAACAATATTTCACAAATACGAATTAGGTCTAATAAATCATCAAAATATTGTTTAAATTTTATATAGAATGGTATTAACCCTTTTTTTTTTTTTTTGTGCATTCATTTTGTGGGGCAGTGAAATAAACAACCTTGGTTTAACTGGAACTATTCATGAAACTGTGGGTTATCTTAGCCATCTAACGTCCCTGTACGTAATCTGACTCTTTCTCTGCCCACCAATCTTTAATGTAACTTCAGTTGTTTATATTATATTGCAGACTCCAGTGACAACTTTGGGGTGTAAAAAGAACTAACCTTCACAAAAATATTCACTAAGCAAGTGTGTAAAGAAATTATAAGTTCAACCTAATTAAATTTTGTTTTTTTTTTCTTTCTTTTTAAATATCATATCAAAAGCTCTCTAGCCAACAACAAACTTCATGGCAGCATACCTGATACATTGGGGAATTTGATGGATCTCAAATACCTGTAAGTAAATATATACTAGATGGTTACATGCGCACACTAGAATTTGCATGATTATGAATATATGGATAGTTTCACTTGAAAAATCATTGTTAATCAATCAACTAGATGCTTTAGTGTGTACTTGTGAAAATTAGATTCTTGAATTGGGGTTTTCTGTGTTAAGGGATCTATCGTTCAATCAACTCAGTGGTCTAATACCAGCAAGCTTAGGGAACTTGGTTTCTCTTAAACAACTGTAAGGACTTGATGTTGCCAATTTAATTGTGGAGAGTCAGCTTGATTAATTTCCATTAATTTCTTTTGTTAAATTTCTTATCAAGTCATTTTCACGCTCTATATATATAGATATCTGAATGACAACTTGCTTAACGGAGGTATACCACGAAAATTTGGTTTATTGAAAAATCTTACTGAAATGTGAGTACATAAATTATATATTCTTTTATTAAACTCCTCCACCTCGTATTTTAATTTTGATGGATTAATTCATTTCATGCATGGTTTACTTTCACCGGCTTTTGCAGGGCTATGCAGTTTAATATGCTTTCAGGCTCAATTCCTGAGGATTTTGGTTATCTTTCGAGTCTTTCATATATGTTTGTACTTTGCTTTCACCACATTTAATTATACTTATAGACTAATAAATAAATAAATATATATATATATATATAATGAATCTTCTAAAACATTAATTCTAAGAAGTCTTTTGTCATTTTATCCCATAGGGATCTGTCTGAGAATCAGCTCTCTGGTCCTCTTCCAGAAAGCCTCGGAAGCTTGACATCACTCACAGTATTGTAAGTTTAAATGAAAAAAAAAGAAAAAAAAAAAAGAAACTCATCCCTTAAAAACTAAATAAAATAGAAATAATAATCGAGTTAATATGCAAAAGTAATTAACATGGGAGTGTCTTTTTCATTGTTGCAGCGCTGTGTGTGGCAATTATTTCAGTGAGAACTTTCCAAAAAGTTATGGCCAGCTCACAAGCCTGGAATACTTGTAAGTGTTCACTCCTATCAATGATTAATTTGAGGTTTGCCGCACATTAATTAAATAATTAAGAGGATATGATGGTGACTGGTGAATGCATACAGTTCAATAGCCGGGAATTACATTTCTGGTCCCTTTCCAGCTGAAGCCATAGCCAAGTGGACTAATATCAATTTCCTGTAAGTAATTTTTAGCTTTACACTCAGCAGGTAGCCATATTATTCTCTCCCTCTTACTATTAAGGTTTCTTAAAAAGACAATTTTTTTACACGGCATGCAGGTCTCTCATGGGAAACTATTTCGAAGGACCGGTGAGGGAAGAAATATTCAGTTTGCCAAACCTTCAGTATCTGTATAAGCCATCTTCCCCTTTCTTTCGCTTTGCTGGTTCTATAATATATATGTGTGAATGTGTAGGGTAATGCTAAGGAGGTTATATTTGTAGATGAAATTTACAAACTAAATGATATGTCACCAATAGAAATGAGCACGTTTATCAATGTTTAAGTAATATTCAATCATGAGCTTCCAATTTATTTTATTTACAAAATTTTATCTACAAATTTAATTTTTCTAACATTATATATATATATATATTTATTAGAGGTTGAAAATGTATATATATTTATTCCTCTACAGGAGGATAAGCGACGTGGCACCAAATCCTAGCTTCAAATTACCACAAAAGATCGCCAACAGTGCTAATTTCATTTCTCTGTGAGCAGTTTGTTGTAATAATTGCTTCTAGCCCGGTTTGTGCCCAAAAGGCTTCACTTTTTATTCTTCACGTTGGTTTTCTACAGAAGACTGAGGAACTGCTCAATCACCGGCACAATCCCCAAATACATTAGTGAAGAAATGACATCTCTAAGCTACCTGTAATTTCACTTCACTTTTGTAATTTTGCTTTTGGAGCTGTCCTGTTAATTTGGCTGGAAGAAAATTGAATCAGTTTTAGGGCTTATTTTATAATCATGAGTGCTTACGCTAGAAATGTTTTCATTTAAAACGATTCAATTTTTTTATTATTAAAATTTAAGTGATATTTTTTGCAAAATTAATTACAGGCGTTTCTTGAAAGGAGAAGGATTCTCTACCCCTCTTAATCTCTTTACATTTCCATACCATCCTATTTGAACGATCATGGTTAAGCCACGTCAACATCTTATATTAATTTTTTTATAAAAATAATAAGATAAAAAACAATGTATAAGATGAGGTGATAGAAATGTATGAGAATAGAAGGATAGAGAATCTTCTTTTTTTCTAAAAGGCATATGAGGTGTAATTGTTTTTCCAAAACACACTTTTAGGACCCAAAATCATTTATTACTTTTTGTGACAAATATGGTCACAATTTCATTTAATTATTAGAAAGTACTTTTAGCTATTCTCGAAGTACTCTCCAACAAACCCTCAACCATGTCATTGGACAATTAATTAAGCATCGTCTGATATATCTTTTTATGTTGTATTTTTTATTTCACAATATATAGCCAATTACACGGAACCAGAATTGAGTATGTTCTTAATATCATTGTAGATCAAAACTCCTTTAACTGTTAATTTAATCCTCTGTGTTTTGTCTTGCAGAGACTTGAGCTTCAATTATTTAACCGGTGGCCTCCCTCATTATATGCAATCAGATATGATTTACATGTAAAGGAATAACATTCTTAACTGGAAGAATTTAGATTAACTACATATCTAAGTCTTGTTAATTACATGCGTTAATATAATATATATATATATATATATATACATACATACACGCTTAATTATGTTCAGGTCTTTTTCTGGAAATATGCTTAACGGAACAATCCCACGTTGGATATTTCGGGCCTTCCAAACTAAGATGTATGTCTTCATATTCTGAACTGAAGTTGGAAGAACTTTCATTTGTAATAGCTTTAATTTTTTGCTCATATGTACAAATTAATAAACGATATTTATACATGCTATGTTATTTTTTAGGGATCTTTCGTTTAACAATTTTTCAGCAGTAGACACCGCAGTACCAAGCAACCTACAACTGTGAGGATATGTTCTTTCTTCTTGAATGTTTCCGTTGACAAAATTGAATGGTTCCACTTCTACTAATAATTGCATCAAGGGCTTTTATTTAAACCTCACCACAATTATTGTAGCACATCGCTGAAGTTAGGGATAGTATCAATTATGAATTTTTTTGTTTCATGATCTTAACTGGTTTTTTTTTCTTTTTCCAGGAACTTGTTTGCCTGCTGCCGCAACTCCCCGACCTCTTTACCATATATGTATGTTTATTTCCCTTTTGTGTTAGTAAGAGACTCAATCATCAGAACCTTGTATAACGTATTGGTAACTACTTTTAGGATGGATCCGTTTGAAATGAAGAACACATACTGTCCTCGAAACAAACCAAAGTGTAAGTTTATTCTTCAGAAATCGGCATCGTGAACGCAAACTAAATGCTGCAGGATATATTATGATACATGTTAATTCTTCTTGCAGACCATTCCTTGTTTATTAATTGTGGTGGTGAAAGGACAACTGTTGGTGGGAATATATATGATCAAGATAATGACACATCCCTCTTTTACACAAGTCCAAAGAAAAACTGGGCTTACAGCCTTTCCGGAGACTATGGTGTAAAAAAAGGTAATGCTAGTGATTACATCAAGAGCACGACACGTGGAGTTTCCATTACTGAGGCACCTTTGTACGAAAAAGCTCGTCTGTCTCCATTATCTCTCAAGTATTATGCTTTTTGTCTACGTAAAGGTAGATATAATGTTACGCTTCATTTTCATGAAATTATATACACCGATGATGTAGACTATACTAGTCTAAGAAGACGCTCATTTGATGTATATATTCAGGTAACAGTTCTTTTTACTGGTCACGGTAACAATACATCATTCTACTACTTTATTTATTGTATCATCTCATTTTTAAGTAAATTTTGTTGCAGAGAAACAGGACATTCAATGATTTCAACATTAGAGACAAGGAGGGAAGTGGAGAAAAACCAATAACTGTAAGTCATTCAGCTGAGGTTGTACATGATGGTGGCCTGTTAGAGATCCACTTGTACTGGTCTGGAAAGGGACAGAGCGTGACGCACCTACTTTTAATGGACCTTTAATATCAGCTATTTCTGTGAATCCTGGTAATATTTTATTTCGTGAATTGATTCCTTTTTAATTTATCTTGTTCAAATTAACACTCATGTATTATTACTCTCTTCCCGCCAAAAACAGAGTTCGTAATTAGTCCCGATAAATATATACGTCTTGCATTGATTACGATTGCATCCGTCATTGCTGCTCTGCTGCTCTTATTGGCTTTTGCTTGGAGGATGGGCTGGCTGTCAATCAAAAAGGAGCCCAGTAAGTCTATAAGTTGCATGCTAAGCTACAATTATATACTGCACTCTGCACTGCTGTACGTGAATGTGCCCCCTTTGATACACCAAAAGGAAAAAAATTAGTCTGATTGATATATATTCCTGATGCATTTTTTTTTCTGAACAGAAATCAAAATAGGTCGTGAAGAAATAGATGGCAATCTTCAAGACAAATTTGTCACCGTCAAAGAATTAATAAATGCTACTGAAAATTTCAGTGAAAGAAAAAAAATCAGCGGTTCTAGGACAGTTTTTAAGGTGAACTTCTGTACTTATGCATTCTATAATTTTTGTATTTATTTATTTTTAATTCTATAACCTCTTCGTGGATGAAGGCAGAACTGCCAGGTCACACAGTGGCGGTGAAGAGACTAGATTCCCATCATTTTAAGGAAAAAATCGATGAATTGAAAAAGGAAATTCACATCATCGAGTCATTGCAACACAACAATATCCTTCAACTGTTGGATGTTCATATTGAAAAAGACCTCCAATTTCTTGTTTACGAATATATGGAAAAGCAATCCCTTGCCGACATCTTATTTGGTAACGTGTTTTCTACTTCTTGTTTACTTGTAATGTGATGTTTTGATACGTTTTTTGTTTTTAAAACTATCATGGAAGACGAATACAACATATAACGTATTGAAGTGTATGCAACTGCAGTCCCCAACGGAGTGAAGCTTGATTGGGAAACAAGGTTTAACATTTGCTTGGGAATAGCACAGGGTTTGAAATATCTACATGACCTTGACAGAGTAAAGATTGTTCATACGAATATAAAATCCACTAATATTCTTCTTAATAAGAATTTTGAGGCTAAGATATCAGACTTCGGATTTGCAAAGCTTTATACCGAAGAAGAAAAAGTTAGGGTCATCGCAAGAGAAACAAAGAAGTAAGTAAACTAGTAATTCACCAGTTTTTTACAAGGCAAATTTAAGTTTGTAAAACTACATGATAATTTCTTATATTATCTACAGAGGCTACACGGCGCCAGAGTATTTGCAAAGGGAAGATTTACCAGACACAGTAGATGTTTTCAGCTTTGGGGTGGTCGTACTTGAAATTGTCAGTGGGGAGAGAAACGTAGCTAGCTCATCAAAGAAGGAACTTGAATTTCTTGTAAATAGGGTAAGCAAGAATGACCGGGTTGTGCTTTTGTGGTTTCTTCTCTATATTTGATCATGCATTTTTACGTATGATTACGTTTCAAGCTTGATGCTAACTATCGATCCTGCATATGCGCAGGCTTATAAAGCAAATAAAGTCGGAGATTTGGAGAGCTTGGTTGATAAGAGTTTGCGAAAGTATGATCAAAGAAAAGCCGCCATCATCTTGAAATTAGCACTGGAGTGCACCGCCCTAGGTACTAGTGTCAGACCTACAATGTCTCAAGTTGTGGGTGTTCTTGTTGGCGAAATAAGCATTGACGAGGTTTGTCCACTTGCCAAGCCCACTGGCGACGTCAATGTTGCTAGTTCCACCACTTCGGGGAAGTCGACTTCAGTAGCAGCAACTTCGTCTTATTCAACCTAAGGCGTACATGATCATCGGAAAAGTATTTCTAGATTAATCAAAAGTTTTATGTGAATAGCATTAGACGTTCTTGAATTGCTACTGTTACTGGTGTGCTTTAATCTTTTTCGCGGTTTCTGTACTTCGCATCCTTTTGAACTTTGTGAACCCTTTCTTCCAGCAGAATGTCATATCAAAACTTGGAAATTTGTTACATGTGCAGCGTTATTCCATTCGCAACTTCAGACTACTTTTTCTTCTCCCGTTTAAATCTTTTACTAGTCAGTTTTGTGCATAATGTACAAATATCATCTTTTGCACAGATTCCCTATTCTGACAAGAATAAACAATCTTCTGTTATAAATCGAAAGCAACAAAAATATAATTACAATCTTGTACGTGTTCATTTGCACAGAGTCCTTATTCGTGAAATAGAAAACTCGGAGTTTCTGTTATTTAAAAGGTATTCATGTCAACATTGAGGTTTTGGTTTTTGTTTGAAATTTTCCCATTTTTTAAGTCAATTATAATTCACCTTCTCCTTGCGAATGACTCATTCACTTCATAACTTGTTAATTATGATAAATTCTTTAGTGTGTTAGAAACACGAAGAGATACATTATATTTCATTATAGGGTTAATCTCAGTTTACTATTTTTTTTTGTTTTCAACATTTGGTACATGAAGTTTTTTTCATCCCATAGTGATACTTGAAATCGTAATTTTGGGACAATTTCATACATCCGTTAAGGTTGCTGTTAAATCAGCTGTTAAGTGATGACGTGGCGCCCACGTGGACAATGACTGGACGCCATGTGTTAATATGGGCCCACATGAAGATTAAAAATTAAAAAACTAAAAAAAATTAAAAGAATGACTGGACAATGACTGGACGCCATGTGTTAATATGGACAATGACATAACTCCTCATTTTGGTCATTGAGATTTGAAATCAATAGAATTGGTCCCTGAATTTGTCCACCATCAATCATTTTGGTCATTCATTGAAAAAATCTTCATTAAATAAGGATAAAATGACCAAAATACCCTCAACGTTTGTCAGATCATATCAACCAAAAATCACCCAATCCCAAACCATATGTCGTTGAATTAAATTTAATGTTTCTTTGCAGAATTGTATTCGGCCATTATCTTCCCTATAAATGAATGTCTTAATGGTTTTAGATTTATCTAATTTTTTGCAAGGATGATCAATGAATCATGTACTAAAATATAGAAGATTTAGATTTTTAAAATACATTACGAAGTAGACACTACAAAATAAATGTCTAAATGTGTGTAAAAAATGTGTGTCCTGAATCTCAACCCTTATACCCAAATACAAAAAATAAAAAAAAAATGTGATCACAAAACCATTAGCACACATGAAAAAGAAACCATGAAACCAAAAATAATGATGAATAAATTAAGTAGAAACTAGAAACACCTAATCAAATTGCAAAACAGCAATTATGGTAAGACCTAAATTAAGGATAGTTTAATTTCCCGCAACATATGAAATTAAAGCCTTAATATATCATGTGATCAATCAACAAAATCATTAGTGAACATGTAAAAAAAAAACCATGAAACAAAACAAAATGATGAATAATCAACAACAAAAACGTGTCTTTCTAGATCCTAATCTAAAAAAATTTAAAATTATGTGATAAATCGACAAAATCATTAGGGTATATAAGAAACCAAAAAACAAAACAAAATGATGCATAAATTAAAGTAGAAACTATAAACACTTATCCAAATTGCAAAACAACAGTTATAGTAAGACACAAATAAAAGCAAGTCTTTAATTTTCTGCAACAAATGATATTAAAGCCTTGATCTCTCTACATATCTCTCTACTCTCCCTCGGCAAACAAGAAACAAAATAATCAAATCTCATAGTTGATTAATGGGGACCTTTAGATGTGGAGGCTCAGTGCAATTGCACAAGATACTCCCCCTTAATGCTGGCACTAAGTACTCTGTTATCGTTATTGTCTTTTAGTAATCATGGTTTTCGTTCATATGATTAAGCTTTAAACAAAGTCTATCTTGTGGAAAACTTTGATGCCAAAAGCAAAATGACAGATTATGCATGAAACACGAGTCTTGTGCAATGAATCAAAAAGTGGTAGATAGGAAAATAATTGTTCATAGATATGACTAAATAATTGTTCCTAGATATGTCCTGATAATTGTTCATAGATATGACCAAATTATTTCAAGCAAGATTCCAATCAAATTTGCATGTACACCACTCAAAAAAATTTCAATTGTTCAGAGACATGTGTAAAGGACGACAACTTTAAACAAAGCCGATTGTTTGGAGCTTTAACTTTTAGACAATAGGTTGAGCCTTTTGAAGAAAGCTCAACTCTCGAACATTGATGCCAAAAGAAAAATGCCAGATAATGCATGAAACAAGATTTCCAATCAAATTTTCATGTACGCCACTAAGATTTCCAATCAAATTTGCACATACGCCACTAAGATTTCCAATCAAATTTTCATGTACGCCTCTCAAAATGATTCCAATTGTTCATAGACATGTGTAAGGGACGAGAACTTTAAACAAAGCCAATTGTTTGGAGCTTTAACTTTTAGACAATATGTCGAGCCTTTTGAAGAAAGCTCAACTCTCGAACATTGATGCCAAAAGAAAAATGCCAGATAATGCATGAAATAAGATTTCCAATCAAATTTTCATGTACGCCACTAAGATTTCCAATGAAATTTTCATGTACACCACTAAAAAAAAATCCAATCGTTCATAGACATGTGTAAAGGATGACAACTTTAAACAAAGTCGGTTGTTTGGAGCTTTAAAGCTTAACTTTTGGACAATATGTGGAGCTTTTTGAAAAAAACTAAACTCTTGAAAATTGATGCCAAAGCAAAATGCCAGATAATGCATGAAACAAGATTTCGGATCAAACAATCAGGGATATTTTTCTCATTACTTCTCTTACAGAAATACAGGACCCAATAGTTATACATGCTTGCTGGCTCAGACTAAAACATTCTGGACAAATTTATAAATAATTGATGATGATGATGAGAGGAATAAATGTTTAGTTGGTCCAAGAGGGATAAGGGCAAAATGTTTAAAAATGATTAAGATGTTGTTGGTTACATAAATGTAATGCTTCACTTCTTCGTTTAGGGTCTCCTCTATTCTTAACTAATCCATAATTGACAGCTGTGATAAACTTTCAGGCCAGTATAGTCCGCTACCAATGCCATTAATATTGTCTCACTTACCCACCTATCAAAGAATTTGAGAAATAAGAGATTGTGTTTTAATTAATTCACAATTAACTCTTTTTTATTTATGATTTTGATTCACTCTCCGTTATCATTAACTGTAATTTAATTCTCTCTTCCCCTAACACTCATACTTCTAATTTTCTCGTCTCCTTTCTTTTTTTTAAGAAAACTAGATTTTAATTTTTAAATAAGATGAAGTTTAGAAAAATGTCTTATTCAAGATTAAAAATTGATTTTAATTCCTAGATTCTATTTAATGCCAGTAATATATATTTAATGTCTATTTTTTTATTTATAATTTTATGATGTTCATAAATAAAATTTTAAGATTATATTATAAATTTTAGCTCTTATAGAGCAATACAAAAACATGCTTCAAAACTGGTGAAAAGAAGCCCAACCTGCAGATCAAGAAGAACCAAACCCATCCTGAACGCCACAAATCCGATCCTCAGACGAAAACAAACGCAAGCGAATGCCCAGAACCAAGCTGTAACCAAAAAGGTCAGGTGGTGTAAACACCATTCTAAAGTGATAACAGGCCTTTGTAGGGGTGACAACATATAGTTGTCTCTGACCGGAAGCAGCATATACGAGATGAGATGAAAACCCCCAAAGCTGGAGTGGAAGGCAATGGCGAGTATGAGGAATTGGAGAGCAGATTCGAGGTATTGGAGCGCGTCTACAGTAGACATTGGGTGGACCGTACGGAGCGACTCCGGGAAGACGAAACGATGCCGTGCCAAAAATTGTGCGATTACCGCGTTCCATACATAACTAATTAGCCAACAGACCAAATACAAATTATATAACACAGACAATCACAAACCCAGCCCTGTAATTTATAAATTATAAGTAAATAAGTCAAGTACCGAAAACATGAATAAAATCATCACAAATAAACCCATTTCTTCAAATGCTTAATATCATCAAAAGAAAAGAAATATTCGAGAAACCCAATTGGGAACACCACAAAAATGACATCAGTATCACCGTAATTAAGGAATGGAGGGTTCGGAGGTGGACTCGGCGTCCATGGCCCGGACGATTTGAAGTAAAAGATGGAGGAACGGAGGGTGGTGGCCTCGGGGCTTGGGTGTTTGTTGCCGTTGTCGGGTTGGTGGTGGTGGTGGCTGTTGGGTCGAAAAGAGAGGAAGAGGAGGACGGGGTGTTTCTGGGTTGGTTCTGTTGGAAATTTTTATTATGCGTAATTTATTTAATTTTAACTCTTTTCAAAAGTATTTTAATATTAAATTTAGAACAAGGATTGTCTGTCCTCCCACTTTCGGTGCCCTCTCGTGTTCTTCTGTTTTGTGTGGTCACGGTTAAACCACTTTAATATTTTATATTATTTTTTTTTATAGAGATAATAAGACAAAAATAAATAGTAATATAAAATATTAACGTGGTTTAACCGTGATCACACAAATAGAAGAGCACGAAAGGACATCGGAAATAGAAGGGCAGACAACCTTTATCCTTAAATTTAACCCTTAGTTGGTGGGACACATGGTAAGTTAAAAGAGAGAGGGGAGCATCATAAAAGATAGCGGTGGTAAGCAAAAAAACTTCTAAAAATAATGAAATGAGTATCGTCTTTATTAAAAAGATATCAAATAGTGAAACGAGTATGACTATACTTATCACTTTTTTATCATTTTTTGAATAAGGATAGAGTCCACAACATATGTGAATCTCATCTATATTAGAAAAATGATATAATTATAGTATGAAAAATATGATAAGAATATTATTTTTGTAATAAAATTGTTCGCAAGTACATATTTTATATTGATGACCACATTACCGATTGCGTTGTTGACCACCTTTATACGATACATGGGTCTCATTTCCACAGGTGGTTTCGTAATATATATAGGCAATCGACATTGCTGGAGCAAATTATCTTCTACAACGAGTCACGACCTAGCAAGAGAAATGAGTAGGCCTTCTCTAAGACTGCAGCTTACTAAGCTTGTTTTTTACCATATTCTACTTTGGCAACTTGGACGCTGGCCTCAATCCAAATTCTACTGTATGGCTCCACTGCCACCAGATGAAGGTATTCATTACCAATTTCACTCCATCTGTTTTAATCATCAGCCAACTTTCTAATTATATCGCCTTCAAACACATGTTTAATTAATTAATTTCAGCTAAGAGGCCTGATCATCGTATTTATTAATTACTTACCGAAATATTGGCAGTGTCTGTTCTTCAAGCCATTACGAGGGACCTAGAATTCAAGCAACAACCAATCATTACAAACAACTTATGCGATGGAACATTTTATGCTTTTACAATCAGTTGCAATTGCAATGACGAGAATCAATGCCGCATCTCTAAAATGTATGTATGAAACAATATTTCACAAATACGCATTAGGTCAAATAAATAATCAAAATATTGTTTAAATTATAGATAGAATGGTATTAACCCTTTTTTTTTTTTTTTTTTTTGTGCACTCATTTTGTGTGGCAGTGAAATAAACAACCTTGGTTTAACTGGAACTATTCATGAAACTGTGGGTTATCTTAGCAATCTAACGTCCCTGTACGTAATCTGACTCTTTCTCTGCCCACCAATGTTTAATGTAACTTCAGTTGTTTATATTATAATGCAGACTCCAGTGACAACTTTGGGGTGTAAAAAGAACTAACCTTCACAAAAATATTCACTAAGCAAGTGTGTAAAGAAATTATAAGTTCAACCTAATTAAATTTTGTTTTTTTTTTCTTTCTTTTTAAATATCATATCAAAAGCTCTCTAGCCAACAACAAACTTCATGGCAGCATACCTGATACGTTGGGGAATTTGATGGATCTCGAATACCTGTAAGTAAATATATACCAGATGGTTACACGCACGCACTAGAATTTGCATGATTATGAATATATGGATAGTTTTACTTGAAAATTCATTGTTAGTCAATCAACTAGATGCTTTAGTGTGTACTTGTAAAAGTTAGAATCCTAAATTGGGGTTCTCTGTGTCAAGGGATTTATCGTTCAATCAACTCAGTGGTCTAATACCAGCAAGCTTAGGGAACTTGGTTTCTCTTCAAAAACTGTAAGGGCTTGATGTCGCCAATTTAATTGTGGAGAGTCATCTTGATTAATTTCCATTAATTTCTTTTGTTAAAGTTCTTATCAAGTCATTTTCACACTCTATATATATAGATATCTGCAGTACAACTTGCTTAGCGGAGGTATACCACGAAATTTTGGTTCATTGACAAATCTGATTCAAATGTGAGTACATAAATTATATATTCTTTTATTAATCTCCTCCACCTCATATTTTAATTTTTGATGGATTAATTCATTTCATGCATGGTTTACTTTCACCGGCTTTTGCAGGGATATGCAGTTTAATATGCTATCAGGCTCAATTCCTGAGGATTTTGGATATCTTTCGAGTCTTTCATATATGTTTGTACTTTGCTTACACCACATTTAATTATACTTATAGACTTGTGATTTTATTTGCATGCATGTTTAGATAATAAATAAATATATATACATAATGAATCTTCTAAAACATTAATTCTAAGAAGTCTTTTGTCATTTTTTCCCATAGGGATCTGTCTGAGAATCAGCTCTCTGGTCCTCTTCCAGAAAGCCTCGGAAACTTGACATCACTCACATTATTGTAAGTTTAAATGAAAAAAAAAAGAAAAAAAAAAAAGAAACTCATCCCTTAAAAACTAAATAAAATAGAAATAATAATCGAGTTAATATGCAAAAGTAATTAACATAGGAGTGTCTCTTTCATTGTTGCAGCGCTGTGCGTGGCAATTATTTGAGTGAGAAATTTCCAAAAAGTTATGGCCAGCTCACAAGCCTGGAAGACTTGTAAGTGTTCACTCCTATCAATGATTAATTTGAGGTTTGCCACACATTAATTAAATAATTAAGAGGATATGATGGTGACTGGCGAATGCATACAGTTCAATAGTCGGGAATTACATTTCTGGTCCCTTTCCAGTTGAAGCCATAGCCAACTGGACTAATATCTATCACCTGTAAGTAATTTTCAGCTTTACACTCAGCAGGTAGCAATATTATTCTCTCCCTCTTACTGTTAAGGTTTCTTAAAAAGACAATTTTTTTACACGGCATGCAGGTCGCTCATGGGAAACTATTTCGAAGGACCGGTGAGGGAAGAAATATTCAGTTTGCCAAACCTTCAGTCTCTGTACAAGACATCTTCCCCTTTCTTTCGCTTTGCTGGTTCTATAATATATATGTGTGTGTGTAGGGTAATGCTAGAGAGGTTATATTTATAGATGAAATTTACAAACTAAATGATATGTCATCAGTAGAAATGAGTACGTTTATCAATGCTGAAGTAATATTCAATCATGAGCTTCCAAGTTATTTTATTTACAAAATTTTGTTTATAAATTTAATTTCTTTAGCATTATATATATATATATATATATATATTAATTAGAGGTTGAAAATGTATATATATTTATTCCTCTACAGGAGGATAAGCGATGTGGCACCAAATCCTAGCTTCAAATTACCACAAAAGATCGCCAACAGTGCTAATTTCATTTCTCTGTGAGCAGTTTGTTGTAATAATTGCTTCTAGCCCGGTTTGTGCCCAAAAGGCTTCACTTTTTATTCTTCACGTTGGTTTTCTACAGAAGACTGAGGAACTGCTCAATCACCGGCACAATCCCCAAATACATTAGTGAAGAAATGACATCTCTAAGCTACCTGTAATTTCACTTCACTTTTGTAATTTTGCTTTTGGAGTTGTCCTGTTAATTTGGCTGGAAGAAAATTGAATCAGTTTTAGGGTTTATTTTATAATCATAAATGCTTATGCTAGAAATGTTTTCATTTAAAACGATTCAATTTTTTTATTATTAAAATTTAAGTGATGTTTTTTGCAAAATCAATTACAGGCGTTTTCTAAAAGTAGGAGGATTCTCTACCCTCTTAATTTCTCTATCTTTCCATACCTTCCTATTTGAACGATTATAATTAAGTCATGTCAACATCTTATATTGATTTTTTTATAAAGATAATAAGATAAAAAACAATGTATAAGAGGAGGTGATGGAAATGTATGAGAATAGAAGAATAGAGAATATTCCTCTTTTCTAAAAAGCATATGACGTGTAATAATTTTTCCAAAACACACTTTTAGGACCCAAAATCATTTATTACTTTTTGTGACAAATTTGGTCATAATTTCATTTAATTATTAGAAAGTACTTTTAGCTATTCTCGAAGCACTCTTCAACAAACCCTCAACCATGTCATTGGATACTTAATTAAGCATCGTCTGATATATCTTTGTATATTGTATTTTTTATTTCATAATATATAGCCAATTACACGGAACTAGAATTGAGTATGTTCTTAATATCATTGTAGATCAAAACTCCTTTAACTGTTAATCCTCTGTGTTTTGTCTTGCAGAGACTTGAGCTTCAATAATTTAACCGGTGGCCTCCCTCATTATATGAAATCAGATATGATTTACATGTAAAGGAATAACATTCTTAACTGGAAGAATTTAGATTAACTACAGATCTAAGTCTTGTTAATTACATGCGTTAATATAATATATATAGATATATATATATATATATGCGCTTAATTATGTTCAGGTCTTTTTCTGGAAATATGCTTAACGGGACAATCCCACGTTGGATATTTCGGGCCTTCCAAACTAGGATGTATGTCTTCATATTCTGAATTGAAGTTGGAAGAACTTTCATTTGTAACAGCTTCAATTTTTTGCTCATATGTACAAATTAATAAACGAGATTTATACATGCTATGTTATTTTTTAGGGATCTTTCGTTTAACAATTTTTCAGCAGTAGACTCTGCAGTACCAAGCAACCTACAACTGTGAGGATATGTTCTTTCTTCTTGAATGTTTCCGTTGACAAAGTTGAATGGTTCCACTTCTACTAATAATTGCATTAAGGGCTTTTATTTAAACCTCACCTCAATTATTGCAGCACATCGCTGAAGTTGGGAACATTATCAATTATGAATTTTTTTGTTTCATGACCTTAACTGTTTTTTTTTTTTTTTTTTTTTTTTTTTTTTTCCAGGAACTTGTTTGCCTGCTGCCGCAACTCCCCAACCTCTTTACCATATATGTATGTTTTTTTCCCCCTTGTGTTAGTAAGAGACTCAATCATCAGAACCTTGTATAACTGATTGGTAACTACTTTTAGGATGGATCCGTTTGAAATGAAGAACACATACTGTCCTCGAAACAAACCAAAGTGTAAGTTTATTCTTCTGAAATCGGCATCGTGAACGCAAACTAAATGCTGCAGGATATATTATGATACACGTTAATTTTTCTTGCAGACCATTCCTTGTTTATTAATTGTGGTGGTGAAGAGACAACTGTTGGTGGGAATATATATGATCAAGATAATGACACATCCCTCTTTTACACAAGTCCAAAGAAAAACTGGGCTTACAGCCTTTCCGGAGACTATGGTGTAAAAAAGGATAATGCTAGTGATTACATCAAGAGCACAACACGTGGAGTTTCCATTACTGAGGCACCATTGTATGAAAAAGCTCGTCTGTCCCCACTATCTCTCAAATATTATGCTTTTTGTCTACGTAAAGGTAGATATAATGTTACGCTTCATTTTCATGAAATTATATACATCGATGATGTAGACTATACTAGTCTAAGAAGACGCTCATTTGATGTATATATTCAGGTAACAGTTCTTTTTACTGGTCACGGTAACAATACATCATTCTACTACTTTATTTATTGTATCATCTCATTTTAAGTAAATTTTGTTGCAGAGAAACAGGACATTAAATGATTTCGACATTAGAGACAAGGAGGGAAGTGCAGAAAAACCAATAACTGTAAGTCATTCAGCTGAGGTTGTACATGATAGTGGCCTGTTAGAGATCCACTTGTACTGGTCTGGAAAGGGGACAGAGAGTGACCCACCTACTTTTAATGGCCCTTTAATATCAGCTATTTCTGTGAATCCTGGTAATATTTTATTTCGTGAATTGATTCCTTTTTAATTTATTTTGTTCAAATTAACACTCATGTATTATTACTCTCTTCCCGCCAAAAACAGAGTTCGAAATTAGTCCCGATAAATATATACGTCTTGCATTGATTACGATTGCATCCGTCATTGCTGCTCTGCTGCTCTTATTGGCTTTTGCTTGGAGGATGGGCTGGCTGTCAATCAAAAAGGAGCCCAGTAAGTCTATAAGTTGCATGCTAAGCTACAATTATATACTGCACTCTGCACTGCTGTACGTGAATGTGCCCCCTTTGATACACCAAAAGGAAAAAAATTAGTCTGATTGATATATATTCCTGATGCATTTTTTTTTTTCTGAACAGAAATCAAAATAGGTCGTGAAGAAATAGATGGCAATCTTCAAGACAAATTTGTCACCGTCAAAGAATTAATAAATGCTACTGAAAATTTCAGTGAAAGAAAAAAAATCAGCGGTTCTAGGACAGTTTTTAAGGTGAACTTCTGTACTTATGCATTCTATAATTTTTGTATTTATTTATTTTTAATTCTATAACCTCTTCGTGGATGAAGGCAGAACTGCCAGGTCACACAGTGGCGGTGAAGAGACTAGATTCCCGTCATTTTAAGGAAAAAATCGATGAATTGAAAAAGGAAATTCACATCATCGAGTCATTGCAACACAACAATATCCTTCAACTGTTGGATGTTCATATTGAAAAAGACCTCCAATTTCTTGTCTACGAATATATGGAAAAGCAATCCCTTGCCGACATCTTATTTGGTAACGTGTTTTCTACTTCTTGTTTACTTGTAATGTGATGTTTTGATACGTTTTTTGTTTTTAAAAACTATCATGGAAGACGAATACAACATATAACGTATTGAAGTGTATGCAACTGCAGTCCCCAACGGAGTGAAGCTTGATTGGGAAACAAGGTTTAACATTTGCTTGGGAATAGCACAGGGTTTGAAATATCTACATGACCTTGACAGAGTAAAGATTGTTCATACGAATATAAAATCCACTAATATTCTTCTTAATAAGAATTTTGAGGCTAAGATATCAGACTTCGGATTTGCAAAGCTTTATACCGAAGAAGAAAAAGTTAGGGTCATCGCAAGAGAAACAAAGAAGTAAGTAAACTAGTGATTCACCAGTTTTTTACAAGGCAAATTTAAGTTTGTAAAACTACATGATAATTTCTTATACTACCTACAGAGGTTACACGGCCCCAGAGTATTTGCAAAGGGAAGATTTACCAGACACAGTAGATGTTTTCAGCTTTGGGGTGGTCGTACTTGAAATTGTCAGTGGGGAGAGAAACGTAGCTAGCTCATCAAAGAAGGAACTTGAATTTCTTGTAAATAGGGTAAGCAAGAATGACCGGGTTGTGCTTTTGTGCTTTCTTCTCTATATTTGATCATGCATTTTTACGTATGATTACGTTTCAAGCTTGATGCTAACTATCGATCCTGCATATGCGCAGGCTTATAAAGCAAATAAAGTCGGAGATTTGGAGAGCTTGGTTGATAAGAGTTTGCGAAAGTATGATCAAAGAAAAGCCGCCATCATCTTGAAATTAGCACTGGAGTGCACCGCCCTAGGTACTAGTGTCAGACCTACAATGTCTCAAGTTGTGGGTGTTCTTGTTGGCGAAATAAGCATTGACGAGGTTTGTCCACTTGCCAAGCCCACTGGCGACGTCAATGTTGCTAGTTCCACCACTTCGGGGAAGTCGACTTCAGTAGCATCAACTTCGTCTTATTCAACCTAAGGCGTACATGATCATCGGAAAAGTATTTCTAGATTAATCAAAAGTTTTATGTGAATAGCATTAGACGTTCTTGAATTGCTACTGTTACTGGTGTGCTTTAATCTTTTTCGCGGTTTCTGTACTTCGCATCCTTTTGAACTTTGTGAACCCTTTCTTCCAGCAGAATGTCATATCAAAACTTGGAAATTTGTTACATGTGCAGCGTTATTCGCAACTTCTGACTACTTTTTCTTCTCCCGTTTAAATCTTTTACTAGTCAGTTTTGTGCATAATGTACAAATTTCATCTTTTGCACAGATTCCCTATTCTGACAAGAATAAACAATCTTCTGTTATAAATCGAAAGCAACAAAAATATAATTACAATCTTGTACGTGTTCATTTGCACAGAGTCCTTATTCGTGAAATAGAAAACTCGGAGTTTCTGTTATTTAAAAGGTATTCATGTCAACATTGAGGTTTTGGTTTTTGTTTGAAATTTTCCCATTTTTTAAGTCAATTATAATTCACCTTCTCCTTGCGAATGACTCATTCACTTCATAACTTGTTAATTATGATAAATTCTTTAGTGTGTTAGAAACACGAAGGGATACATTATATTTCATTATAGGGTTAATCTCAGTTTACTATTTTTTTTTTCAACATTTGGTACATAAAGTTTTTTTCATCCCATAGTGATACTTGAAATCGTAATTTTGGGACAATTTCATACATCCGTTAAGGTTGCTATTAAATCAGCTGTTAAGCGGTCACGTGGCGCCCACGTGGACAATGACTGGACGCCATGTGTTAATATGGGCCCACATGAAGATTAAAAATTAAAAAACTAAAAAAAATTAAAAGAATGACTGGACAATGACTGGACGTCATGTGTTAATATGGACAATGACATAACTCCTCATTTTGGTCATTGAAATTTGAAATCAATAGAATTGGTCCCTGAATTTATCCATCATCAATCATTTTGGTCATTCATTGAAAAAATCTTCATTAAATAAGGATAAAATGACCAAAATACCCTCAACTTTTGTCAAATCATTTTGGCCTATTGTTTATTAAATTGAGGGTATTTTTGTCATTTTAATCTTTACTTAACATAACTATTTATAGAAGAATGATTGATGGTGGACCATCTCAGAGATCACTTGTATTGATTTTAAATCATAGGGAGAGTTATGCAAATCTCAATGACGATTTTGGCTAAAAAGCTATAAATAAATAAACTTTAGATTTCAATGAGTTACAAGTTTCTTCCCGAAACTTTGTATTCTCAATTACACTAGACAATCCACTTAAGATACTTAAATAAAATCGTTAGCCATAATAATATGCATGCTTATTATAGCACAAAATGATATTAGCAACCTAAAAGTGGAGAATAGCTACCATACTTACACGTTGCAAGTACAATCATTCATTGACGGTAAGAGATAATGGTTAGAGATAATGGTTAGATTTCACTAAAACATATTGATCGTTAAATGAGTGATTGGATTTCAACACGATGTTTTGAGGACCTGAGAATGTGAAACGTTCCTTAAGTTCACAGTTTGCAACTTTGTACTTTGAAATTTGATTTTAGCTTCACTTTTGCATTTTCCATCAAATCCGTTAAGAAATATGTTAATACTCTAACTGGCATGAGTGAGGCCCACTTAATTGCTGATGTGCCCTTTGATAAATGAGAATATTTTTGTTCACCACTCTCAAGTGATGATGATATTGCTCACTATCCTATCCATCAGCGTTGTATAAGTTTAAATTTTGAGATTTGTATAATGAATATAAACAAATCTCAAAATTTAAATGCATTTAGTGGTAATAAGTAGGCTCTGGTGAGCATTACCACAACTTCGTGAGCAAAATCCACCCTTGGTAAATTATATTTTTCTCCTTTTTTGTGCACATGCTTCAAATCAAGAAAATTTTCAGTACGCCGAACCACGATCCTATATAACAAGTGTCATACTATTAGTGGCTAGATCTTGAATAAAAAAAATTTAACTACTTGTACATAAAAATTTATCACCAATATTTTATCCAGATTTCGGAGAGCAACCATCAACCGTCAGTGGGATAAGGATCACTCAACTTCCAGGATATTTTCTGAAAACAAAATAAATAAATAAAATTGAAAGTTAAAAAGAAAAAAAATAATTTTTTTAAATGAAAAAAATAAAAATAAAAATTTAATACCAACAATTCATTAAATAAGATAATTTTAATTATTTTATGTATAAAAAATAATTATTATATAATTTTAACTATGTATTTCCAGTAATAAATAGAATTAATGGATTCATCGGGTGAAAAGGTGAAGGCTAAATTGGGTTGGAGGAAATTAGGGAACACAAATAGGAGTCCACGACAGTCAAACAACCATTGGAATCTGTACGTACAACCAAGGTGGAGAGCAGCGGAGAGCCTCCTCCGGCCTTCTGACGGCGCCGAGGCTCTCTCCTCAGCCACCGCCGCAGCAGCATCAGGATAAACGACCCCATCGCAGCCAAAGCGCCAACAGCAACAAGATGAAGGGATTATTCAAGTCCAAGCCCCGAAGCCCCGCCGACATCGTTCGTCAGACCCGGGATTTACTCGTCTATGCCCAGCGCTCTCCCGATTCTGGCGAAAGCAAACGCGAGGAAAAGGTATCTATTTTCCATCCCTTAAAAAATCGATCCAATTCAATACGATCTGATTGAAATTTTGATCCGGTTCTCCCTTTTTCCTATATTTATTCTGTGAAAACTTTGGAATTTGGGATTGTTCATGTGTTTTTTTTATGACCAAAGTTGATTTGGGATTGGTTGATGATCAAAGTTCTTTTTTTAGCAACCAGGTTAAGGAATTTATTCATTCGGATTTCATTAAAATTTGACGATTGTGAATTCTGAAATGGTTAAAATTAGTTTGTGAATTTCTTCTGTTTGAAAGTATCCATGTTGTGATTGTTTTGGGTATCAAAATTTCGATTAATTGGTAATTTGCTGCAATGTTGTTATATATGCTATTATGTGAGTCAGTATTCAATTTCGGAAGACATGTAATAGGAAGTGGAAGTGTGTTCTCTTTAAAAAACTCATGGGTGAACTTGGGCACAAGCTTCTGAAACGAGTTCAGACTCACCATTGCCGTAGAGAATGGACTTCAGCTGCCTTTTGTTTTTACATAGCTCTGACTAGGGATGGACAAAGGTTATAGCAGGTGGGTAACCGCAGTTATTTACCCATAATCATAACCATTTATGTTTATACTCATATAGCTGGTTACCCGTTAGATAATTGCATAAACGATTATATCGATACTTATAACCGTTTATAAACGGTTAACTATACCCATAATCGTGTACCTATTTAACTATAATTATTTACCCGTTTACCCTTTTTGAACCCATTTATCATTTTTTACTCATTTACCATTTTTTCACCTATCTACATGTTTTTTTTTTTTAACAACTTGAAAATTATAAAAGAACAATTTGTCATAATTTTCATTTTTTAACAATTAAACACCGTTATAAGTACATTTTAGTATGCATTTTTCTATTTTAATCATTTAAGTCCTCGTACAATTCCAATAATTGAAATAATAGTTTACGAACGATATTTTTCTGCTACACCTAAGCAAATCTTTAATTATGATCCATATGATTACAAAATAAAGTTTCTAAAAACAAAAAGTAGTCATTATCTTGAATACTAGATGATTTAAATCTCCAAAATATTTCGAAACTAGACACTTTCGAACACTAATGCTTTCAGGAGAGGTTAATTAATTATGTGGCTTTGTGCTTAGGTGTAATGTGCCCCTTAATTTACGTGACTTTATGGAGCAACTGAATGGGAAATATGTATACTGATATCAAAATGGGATCTGCTTGCACGATGTGGTCATTACATGGGTGCATAATCTTCTTGCTGTGATTTTGTTATCGGTCAAACTTTATGCTGTAATTTAAAAATATTGAATCACATGAGTGTTCACATGCAAAAGTATTCAACCTTTATTAAATTAAATGGAGGGAAAGATCAGCTAGGATGGGGCGTTTGAGACTCTGAGTCTGGTGGAGAAATTGAAAATTTAGGGTTTTTAATCTTTTTTATTTTTTAAAATATTACATATATTAAATTGAATGGGTAAATAGATGTCCATTATAACTGTGGGTAATACTCATAACAGGTGGATACCCGTTATAATAACGGGTAATACCCATAACCGTCAATTTAAATTTCATGGATAAACTGGTATACCCATAATCGTTTATTTATCTAAACGGTTACCCATAATCGTAACCGTGAACTTTAAATGAGCAGGTAACTACGATTACTTAAATCCATGAGTATTTTGTCCATCCCTAACATCTGCTCGTTCATAAAATCCATGCACAATAAGCTTTATTTTGGCTATGCAGATGATGTTGCCCACTATTACATGAACGATGTTATTGCCCTTGTTCTTGGAAGCTTTATTTTGGCTCTCGCCGTTGAGCATTATAACGTACCCAAAAGATTCGCCTTGAATGTGAGTCCTCTTTTCGTTGCAATTTTCTCATATTACCTCGTTCATGTGAAATATCGTTCACACAATATATTGTTGCCAACAAAGCAAACTTAAATATATTTTTGATAATATTAGTACGTGTCACAACTTGAGATTTGGATGCTTTAGTTTCCGAATCCTACTAGGGTGAGAGCTGTATTATGCCCGAATCCTAGCTCATACTATATGCTTAGGATTTTCAAAATAATTTATTTTTTGGATTCAAGCGATATTAGTGAAGGAGAATCGAAATTTAGACTTCAGGTACATGAATAATTTATGGTAATGCTAAATAGACCATCTATTTAAACTAAATTTTGGAAACTATATGGCATGGCTGTTGATGATTGAGATAAGTTTTTCAATGTGCCGGAAATACAGGTCTGTATACTAAATGTCATAATAAAATTTGTTAGAGTTTATTTTTTCAAATTTCTAACAAATTGTATTATTACACTTGATCTGATGGGCGGTGTTTGCGGCATACTGAAAAAATCTCTATTGAATTACTACTTAACGTATTTATTTTCTAGAATGGTGTTATGCACACCTCAGTGTCTTATTTCTCCGCCCACCTTATATTTACAACCAGCATAAAAAAACAAAACACACATAAACTCTTTTCCCACGCACAATTATTCCCAAAATAACCCTATACATTTCTTCTTCCAATTTTCCTTGCTTTAAACAAATATACCCAACAACTCCAACTCCAAATATCATGGCAGCCCCTTCCCAAAAAATTCCCAGAACTATCACTATCAACACACCCAAATCCTCAGCCCCCCTCTCCAAAACACACCTAGTGCCCCTCCTTACCCAAAATCCTTGGTCGGCCTCAACGGCGCATTTGTGGAATCGGGAGATGGTTCTCGAGTCCCCATTTGATCGAGTTGTCGGAGGATCGCAGAGGAGATCGGTGGACAAGATGGGCTTTCTGTCCGAGCACAACCTCGACGTGTTTGGCACAGGTCTCAGCCATGGCGAGCGAGACAATCAGTGAGAAAGCCAGTGCATAAGAGAAAGGGAGAGGAGAAAGAGAGGGGAGGAGGAAAAAGGAGGAGTGTTTGGGGTTGAAGCAGTGAGGTAGGAAATTAAAATGGGGTGAAGTTGTGGAGGCTGAGGTCGGGGAGTAGGGATGTGCAAATTATCCATGAGTGTGGGTAACCGTGGTTACCCGCCTATTTAAAATTCACGGTTATGATTATAGGTAACTGTTTAGACAAACAAACGGTTATGGGTATAATTGTTTAACCATGAAATTTAAATGGACAATTATGGATATTACCTTGGTTGTAACGGGTATCCATCGGTTATGAGAATTATCCGCAGTTATAATAGATATTCATTTATCTATTTAATTTAATATATGTAAAATTAAAAAAAATTAAAAACTCTAAATTTTCAATCTCTCCGTCAAACTCAAAGTCTCAAACGTCCCGTCCTTGCTCATCTCTCCCTCCATTTAATTTAATAAATGATGAATACTTTTGTGTGTGAACACTCATGCGATTCAACATTTTTAAATTACATCATAAAGTTTACCTGATAACAAAATCATAGCAAGAAGATTATGTACCCATGACGTGACCACATCGTGCAAGCAGATCCCATTTTGATATCAGTATACACATTTTTTTTTTTTTGGAGCAGCATGCACATTTCCCATGCAGTTGCTCCATAAAGTCACGTAAATTAAGGGACACATTACACCTAAGTACAAAGCCACATAATTAATTAACCTCTTCTGAAAGCATTAGTGTTCGAAAGTATTTAGTTTTGGAATATTTTTTGAGTTTTGAATCATTTAGTATTCAAGATAATAACTACTTCTTGTTTTTAGAAAATTTACTTTGTAATCATATGGATTATAATTAAAGACTTGCTTGGGTGTATCAGAAAAATATCGTTTTTAAACTATTATTTCAATTATTGAAATTGTATGAGGGCTTAAATAATTAAAATAAGGAAATGCATGCTAAAAAGTACTTATAACGGTGTTTAATTGTTAAAAAACGAAAATTATGACAAATTGTTATTTTGTAATTTTCAAGTTGTTAAAAAAACACATGTAGACGGGTGAAAAATAGGTAAATGGGTAAAAAAGGGATAAACGAGTTCAAAAACGGGTAAACGGTTATGATAAAAAAGGTACACGGTTATGAGTATAGTTAACCGTTTATAAACGGTTATGGGTATATGTATAACCGTTTGTGCAATTATCCAACGGGTAAACAGTTATACGGGTATGAACATAAATAGTTATGGGTAAATAACCGCGGTTACCCGCCCGCCATAACCGTTGCCCATACCTATCGGGGAGGGTGGTGGTTATGAGGTTCTTCAAGTTTTATCTTTTTTCTTACATTTCATTTTTTTTTTTATGTTAAAATAAGCTTTAAGTTCAGCTGTATAATAATTGTATGTGTTAAATTTTGGGTGGAGGTTATGTATGTGGTAATACTGTATTACCGCCTCTCTTTAATAATTTAGGAAAAGGATCCTTGGCGGATCTTTTTTTTGGGAATTTCGTGATCGTGATCATTCATCGTACATCATGCGGTTAGAAATTATTTTGAAATTTAAAATTAAATATAAAATAGTATTTAACGAGAATTGACCGCACGATGTACGATAAACGGTCACGATCACTAGATACCCAAGAAAAGCATCCAGCAAGGATCATTTTCAATAATTTAGAGTAATATACTAGGAAGACTAAATTTTGAAAACTAAATGACATGTAAGTTTATGATTGATTTATTACCTAAATGTTGATAGACGTGCTCATTTATATTGGTGAGACATCATTTAGTTTGCTAGTTTAGTCTCTTTAGCATTACTCAATAATTTATCCTAATTGTGCAGGTGAAGGGGTTTGTGGTAATATATGATTGATTGGTTTTCAAGTAAAGTGATTTTATACAAGGACAAATTTGTCAATAAAAGTATTATTTCAAAGTGGGTGAAGAGATAAGATATTGGGAAAGCTTAATGACACTTATTTTTTATTGGTTACATATTTACAAATTGGATAAGTTGATTTACTTAGTATTACGAGTTAACACTTTTTTTTTCTTTTTTTTTTCCCGAACACAGGTAACCCTGGTGTTCTATGGAGATCCCTTGAATCTGCCATTGCTGCTGCTGGGAATATGTGGGACCGCAACATTCATTAGCATGTGGATGCACAATGTGGCAACTGCGGTGATGATGATGCCCTTAGCCACCGGCATACTCCAGCGGTTTCCGACGGGTCCCAACCAGTCCGTGGTTGTGAGCAACTTTTGCAAAGCCGTGATTCTGGGGGTGTTGTACTCCATAACCATAGGAGGGATGAGCACTCTGACGGGGACCGATGTCAATCTCATATTGGTTGGAATGTGGAAGACCTATTTCCCGCAAGCAGCTCCGATCACCTTCAGCACCTGGTTCTGTTTCACCTTCCCTTCGGCATTGTTGATGTTCTTGGCTTTGTGGGGTTTGCTTTGCTGCTTGTATTGCTCAAGGGGTTCAGGCCAGGCTCTCTTTGTTTATTTAGACAAAGTCCATTTGAAGAAGGAGCTCGAATTGCTAGGTAGGAGCCCTCAAACTTAGAGCAACTTACATGCAATCAACATCGAATTGTGATGTATCTTAAGTCAATCATGTATTGTTGCTCAAGGAGTTCAGGCCAGGCTCTCTCTGTTTATTTAGACAAAGTCCATTTGAAGGAGGAGCTCGAATTGCTAGGTAGAATCTCTCAAACTTAGAGCAACTTACATGCAATCAGCATCGAATTGTGGTGTATCCTAAATCAATCACGTATTGTCGTATGTGAATTTTTTGACGACTAAAACTGTTTCTAAATAAATTAGGCAAAAAAAGTTCAAATGTGTCTTTGAGGGAGTATGACTTTTAATAAAAAATCAACTTGTTTATAATGAAAATACTGATATTAAAACGTTGATGAGAAAAAGTGTTTCTTACAAAAGCAATTCCGAAAGAACCACTCTTTTTTATAGCAATTGTTGTGGATACCCCAAATGCCATAATAAAATAGTTAACACATGGTATCATCGTATTGGTCATGTTCTTTTTTGCTTTCGGCCCAATGTTCAGTATCCAATCTAAGGCACTAGAGAACACCTTCTGTGTAATTGTATTTCCAAATCAACTTACAATTGTTGATGCGGCAACCGGCAGGTCCAATGGCTTTTGCTAAGAAGATGGTACTGGCTTTGTTTTCGGTGCGTCCCCAAGTACTCAGTTTCGCATGGTTTTTGAGTATGGATGTGTCCTCCAGTTATTATGACTAGCATTTTCTGCAGATGCTAATTGTTTTGTGGATGATAAGAAGCATAACAGAGGATATTCCGGGCTGGGGAGTCCTCTTCAATGGGTATGCCGGAGATGGAACTGTCAGTGTGAGTGTTGACATTTCTTCTTATGTGTTCTAACTTTAAACACAAAATGGCCTTATAAACAGACCTTTCGTTGGATCAAATTTTCAAGTGTGACTTGAAATGTTTGTAGGTTATGATTGCAACTTTTTTGTTCACAATTCCAAGCAAAAAGCAAAAGGGTGAGAAGTTGATGGACTGGGGAAAATGCTAGAAGCTACCCTGGAATATCATATTGTTACTAGGTGCTGGTTTAGTCATAACTGACGGAGTTCGATCCAGTGGCCTGGCTAATATATTATCTGAAACCCTAGATTTTTTGGGGGCAGTCCCATATGTTGCCATTGCACCTGCTGTGTGCCTCATAAGTAGTTCCATCACTGAGTTGATCATATCAAACAACGCAACAACCACGCTTATTATTCCTCTCCTAATTCAAATTGCCAAACGTATGCATGTGCATCCTCTCCTTCTGATGATTCCGGGTGGCATTGGGGCACAATTTGCTTTCTTGCTTCCTACGGCAACTCCTTCAAATACCGTAGGATTCGCCACTGGCCACATTGAGATCCAAGATATGATCAAGATTGGCTTGCCATTGAAGATTGTTGGGATTGCTGTGTTGTCCCTTTTGATACCCACTCTTGGTAACATTCCTTTTCTCTTCATTATTTAGCTCACTTAAATTTTGATCAATTTTCATCTTCACTAGTTCTACGTGATGATGTAGTTCACAAGTAACTATTGAGTTTTGGCTATTGCAGGAGCTTATGTATTTAGGATTGAAAGTTCAATAATGTTACGATGTCTCACAAAATCTTAGGGCATAACAAAAAACAGAACATGTTTCGTTGGTGATAGTCTTATGATCCCAATCAACTATGAGTCTATCTGTGATTATGAGATACCTATATGAATTCAAAGCACGATTTTAAATTTGCATTTCATATATGATGTCCGTGATGATCAACCTTATAAATATGTGTGATTATATACAAATAATGCATATATATTTTTGCTTATTATACAAGATCACACCATTGCATCATCTCTAATAAACTCACATTACATCCCAAGAAAATTTAAGTTTTTACAGCACACCACAATATATATCGCACACAAAGTTTAATGCTAGAGTAACCAAGATAAATCAAGGATCAGAGGCTTCCATGGAGATGGTGATTTTCTGGGCTGTTATTGATCACTATTCATGATCAATTTTGCTTTCTCCAAACTCCTTGCTCTTCAACCTCGCAGGGAAGATTTTTGAACTTTGAACAATGGCTAATCTCCACGTAGCGGAGTGCAGGCATAATTTTCCTCACAAATTCCACATAACAAAAATTGCGTAATGCATGAAACGTGTATATATATATATATATATCGGGAGATAAATATAAATGTAGGGGGTTCATGCATCATGAGGAATGTTTTCATGCTTTATGGTCGTTTCAAATATCTTACTTTATTTTAAGCGTACCTGATTGGCAGAAAACAGCAAAAGCCTTTGAATTTGTAAACGATTCATCTCGGAAAACCGGAATTACATCTCCAATGCGTTGTATCACGTTCAACACAGAAAAATTAAATTGAATTAATAGCAAGTAGATCAATTCAATAAAATAATAAATTAATCATAAAAGAATGATTAAAACGTAATAATCCCCTGATTGAAGATCAAACTCTCTTTAGCGTAGAGTCAAGAGCGTGCTGATAACGTGTTGTAGGCATAATTTGCTGAACAATTATGGAGGCCAGAGAGAGGGGGTGCGGCATAGAGAGAGAAGAGATTGATGTGTAATTGTGAGGTGCTTTCTATTCTACTCCATTGTGCCTTTATTTATAGCAGTGGGGAATGTTAATTCTTTATTCCAATAGGATTACAACTCTAATAGGATAATATATAGTTTAAGAGATATGGTAGAATCTCATAAAGATATCCTAGATATGTTAAGATTTATACAATCACATTTTTAATCTAATAGGATAGCAACAAAAGTCGAAATTTTTCTCTTTTATCTTCTCATTTTAAACTTAAGAGTTCACAAGAGTTTATACTTTCTCTCACCCAAATTATCAAGTTTGAATCCTTTTTTTCAATAGCTTGTATTGAAAAAATAAAAAAATTCATTTGTTTAGGTCCATAATCACATGTTTTACAATAAAAATGAAAAATTATCATCTAGACATATAGAACTAATTGAAGAAAAAAACTATTTAATGCATCTTAGTTTTAGTTTTGTGTGATCAAATAGTTTATCTTGTCACGATAAAGTAAATATATTATGTCATCATTAAACAAATATAACCGGTTTTATTACAAGATACTTCAGAACGTTCATATCGACCGAGCATGCAAAATCAAGCAATGAATCTTAGAAGAATTCAATTTTGGACGACATGACTCTTTCTATTTTTGCGCTGGCATTTAAGTTGTCTTTTATCCAGTTCTATGTATAAAAAGAAGCAAAAGCAAAACTTTGAGAAATACTATGAATTATTGAATTTAATATAACCTTGTTTATGATGAATTTGCAATTTGATTAGGAGTCTTACGAAGCTTTTAACATGCATGTGTTTCCTTTCTACTATATTCGTTATCTTTTATATAATGCAGAAAAAATTTATGAGTTTCATTTAAGTACCATAAAAGGAGAGGAACATCCCAGAACTATAAAAGGTATCCCTCACCCTCATTTAGAGGAGTCTCTCGAATCAATGTCTTGCGCTCTCTAAGATAACAAGTCTTCTTGTATAATGTAACTTACTCTCGCATATTGAAAACCGGATTCTACATCAATGCGGACGTAACCCCATCTCTAAGATAACATTTCTTTGACTTAAAATTTTCATTCATACAGTACCCACAATTAGGGATGGGCAATGGTTATGGCGGGTGGGTAACTGTGGTTATTTACCTACAACCGTTTATACTCATACCCGCATAACCGTTTACCCGTTGGGTAATTGCCTAAACGGTTCTACTCATACCCATAACCATTTATAAACGGTTAACCATACCCATAACCACATACTTATTTAACCATAACCATTTAATGCCCGTTACCCATTTACCCTTTTTAACCCCTTTATCTTTATTTATTTTTTTTTTTTTTTACCATTACTCATTTTTCACCCGTCTACATGTTTTTTAACAACTTGAAAATTAAAAAAAAATTGTCATAATTTTCTATGTTTTGACAATTAAACACCATTATAGGTACATTCATCATATATTTTCGTATTTTAATTTTTTAAGTCCTTATACCATTACAATAATTGAAATAATAGTTTACGAACGATATTTTTAACTGTTACCAATGAAGGTAAATATAATATTTGCTAAGTATTATTGGGTTACAAAAATTGTTTAGAAGACATTTCTGTCAAAGCATTTCTATCAATTTCACAGTTACCCGCAAGGAATTTAAATTAATTTGGTGAATTCCTTGATAATGAGAATCATCATTCCTGTAGCAGTGTTATTGAGAGAAGGACCGATGAATTCCTTGCTAATTTATTGGGTGCTAAGTATTATTGGATCGAGAACATGGTTTGTGTTAATTTTACATATATAAAATAAATGGGTAAACGGTTACCCGTTTATAACTACGGTTAATACCTATAACCGTCCATTTAAATTTCACGGGTAAACGGTTATACTCATAACCGTTTATTTATCTAAACGGTTATCCATAATCGTAACCGTTTAATTTAAATAGACAGGTAACCGCGGTTACCCATAACCAATAGGTATTTGCTCATCCCTACCCACAATATTATTCATATACTAAAACCCAACACAAAATCACTGTTCATTAACAGTAAACGGACTAAAACGCCGTTCGAATGCTTATTTGCGTGCTACTTTTTGCTCTTTCTCCACAGCAAAAAGACCTTTCTGCCCTGATTGCCCACGCGTCCCCTATTGCTCCAACTTCTGGTTTCATTTTTTTGTCCATCAGTGCTCCAGCACTGTTCACGAGCCGCGCGTTGGTCCGGTTCCAGAAGTTCTACACCCTTTCTTCCTTTACGATAGGTGTCTCACAAAAGCTTTTCTTGCTCTGAAACCTCACCTTTAGCTTTTTTTGTTCTGAAACCTCGCATTTTCTGGATCTCCGATCTTGAGTTCTCTCTCACATTCTTGCTAAAAACGACGAAACCAGCATTTTGTAGCTTTTTAATCCGATTAGCCAATTAGGTTTTGCTTGATTTGTATTTTCTTTTTATTTATAATTTACAGGGTGATCTATACGATCACGAGAGTTTGGTGAAGGCGATCGAGCAAGTCGACGTGGTGATCTCGACGGTGGGGCACGCGCAGTTGGCTGATCAGGCCACACATGCTATACAACCTACCTGGGTGATGTGCTTTGAGGTAAGATTGCTTAAGGATGTTCCAAATAAGATTAAATTCCTGTTCGTAATTTTGATATAAATGTAAATAGCGAATTTCCTTTCGGTTTTCATTTCTTTCTCTCGAGGACCTCACCTTCTCTGTTTGCTTCCACTGATCTTTTGTGTCCTGCACTGATTCCACTTCTTTTTCGCCACTTTCTACCAAAAGCACTGTGTGCTTCCTGTTTGGTCTAAGTTCCTCTTCTTTTTCTGCAAGAAATAATCCCGTCGCGATTAGATATTTTTTTGGATAGGCGTTGGAGGCTGCAGTATGGGAGGTTTCTTATCATATGAGGGTCACCAATGATTGGTAAGTTCAGTTTTTTTTTGCCAATTTCTTTGCTCTTATCCCAGTTTTTGATCATTTTAAAGGCTCCGAATTGCTAATAGATTTACCCTCTCTTTTTTTATTTCAGAATTTTGGGTCGTTGGAGGAACAACTTGGTTGCTTGACTTTTAGTTTTAGTTTCTTCAGGTAGATGTAATATCACCCATTTGAGTCAAAAATTTCTCTCCAGTAGCGGGTTTCATTGTAGAAATTGAATCCACAATGTTTGAACATGAGCTAAGGGTTGTTGGTTGAGATGTTAATAAGCTTTTCTAATATCAGGTTTTAGATTTTTGAATTCTGCTCGAACAAAACTAAAGTCTATTTCATTTGCTTGATTCAGTATAGTTTTTGTGGAAAGAAATTGAATTCTATGCTTATTCTACGGCTCCTTTTTTGCATTTAAAATTACTGTCATCTTAGGCAATAAAGTATTTATTTGGTATGAATTGCCTGTGATGGTTGATAAATCTTCATGCCGGTCTATCTGGGGGAGCAGTATGTAGACAATCCTATGTTGTCCGATGTCATTCTCTTAGTCGAAGGTTTAAATCATTTATCTTTATTTAAGCTCTTCCTACGTATGCTATGTTAGCTGACATTACAGAATATTCAATAAGCATGGGTGATTGTATTGTTAACATAAGGGACCTCTTTAAATTTTTGATTGTGTACTGACCAATTGCAGATAGACGGTTCTATGCTCACATAATTTTCCTGCTTGGTTCTTCAGATACCTTCCGTGCAACATTTGATGGTGGTATGATTTTCTAATTTCCCCTTTGCAACAATTTCTTTTTGGTTTTTGGAGTATGTATGATTTATTTTTAATTAGAGAAGAAAAATTAATAAAACACAAGAAGCAATTGGAAACATGGCTTCAAGTGATAAGCCAGAGTCTTTTTTTCAATTAACTATATTACTTTTGTAGTATATGCATGCGCAGGAAAAATCCAAATCGTACTACAAGATCTTAGGGCTCTGTGTTTTGTGTCAAACCAATGCATTGAGAGAATATGAGCCGTTGCGTCTGGTTTGGATATGTGTCTATGGTAGTACCCCCATTTCAAGGCAATTGAGAGCGCTTGACTATGGTAACCCAATGGATTTCTTTGTTGTTTTTCCTTAATGGGTTATCGATTCCTTCCTTTGTTAACTGAGTTTTTCACTATCAATATTTTGCATTTATGAGCTTCAAGACACAAAATGATTATTTGTTATTGGGTTGCTAAAGGCAAGCAAGACACATAAAAAGGACCATTGGGAATGAAAAGTCGCTTCTTTGGTGTATTTATACTTTTTTTAGTTGTATCATGCGAAATTAAGTGTTGATTTGCTATGTGTATTTTGTCGAAGTTATGCTTTGATGAGCTTAGATTCCTAAAAGGTTCAATACTAAAATGACATGAATAAGCATAATGAAGGGTTCGAAAGATGCTATTAATGGTTTTGCGAGTATATCGTTAGTCGTTTGATTGTATGATTTGCTTTTATTTTTCTTTCAGAACACTTTGCTCTTCATTTTTTAGGGCTGCAGTTTTCGAAGCCCTTTATGCTCAAGGTAAACAATTTTGGATTTTTCCTTTCAGCCTTCCAACAAATTTTTTTTATTTGAATATTGTGAAAGTTGTGTTTTATATGCTATGAAAGTTGAATCTGTGAATTTATTTTTTTATTTTTTAACTCATGGTATATATTCTATTTCATAGTTTTGGATGATGTTGGATTGAAAAGCTTTTCTATAAAACTTATAGTTATTTAAAGTGTTTTATCCATTCTTACATTTACTCTCGTAAATTATAGCTGATTTGTTAATCTGTTACCAAAATACACAAATTATTTTGTAAATTTGTTCTTATTATAGCAGGAACAACAAATGCAGAAGGGGAACACATATATAATCAGTGTTATTCCAGCCAAAACCTTTATTCTCACAACATTGGGTACGATTGTTATAAGTTTCAGTTCATTGTACCTAAATTGAAACAATTTACTATTAGCACATACTTTTTTATATTTTAAACATGATCTTTCATGCATCTTCTAATCCCGCAGCAACGCGCGGTTAGTTCTTTCTAGTATCTTCTATACATCAAATACATTTCCTTGGCTCCATTTTATGACGTCCATTTCTTCATTTCTTTGACTCCAAGATATCCATCATCAGCTACTCCTTCATTTCCTCATAGGTACCAATGTACTCGCTGGCAATCGTCCTCAAAATACCTATGCAATCCTTTACTTGCATCGTGGCAGGACCAGCGAGAGATCCTAGCATGTGCCGATTGACATCACAAGAGGATGTCAAGAAGGGACAAGCTAGGCTCTCTTGTTCGCCTTCGCACGGTGGAAGTAAGTTCAAGGAATGCGAAGGTTCGGTGGCGACTACTTTGGTACCCATGAGAAAACGAGGGAGGAGCCGAAGATGATAACTTTCAGATTGACGAAAAATTCACAAATTCGACGCAACTGGTCAAACATTGTAAAGTTTTAGCTATGAACAGAATAATGGGCCTCCAAATTTGTAGTGAAACGGGCCTGATTAAATTCGTGTGTTGGGCAAAAGTAAAGCCCCATCTTTTTTAACGTAAATAAATTTTTTTTACACAAATATCATCTGAACTATTCCGGGCGTGTGCATTTACTGTCAAACAAATTTTTTCTGACAAGCTGCAACCACTACGTCCTTTTGACTGCTATTTTACTTTCTTATTTGCTAGTACATAATCTCTGGCAATCCAAAACCTGTAAAACCACTTTCACATGATCATAAATATATGTAGTTGACTTACCACCAAAAACTAAAGACGAATAATTGATCAGCATATAAATGTTTCTCAAATACTGTCTCTCTCAAAGTGCGAAAGAACAGACAACAATAGTCTTCGTCCGACTAATGAGAATATGAACATCTGAACCTGCTAGGGACTTTATACTAGAAAACAGAGAAGGAAGCTTCCCTAGTCACTCTCATTTTCAAGCTTTTTGTGTTACTCGACCTTTCCCTCGCGGTGAATGAACAGATGAATCGAAAGATATACTTACGCGTGGCGATCATGGCTAGAGGAAATGAAAGTGAGGCTGAAACTTGAAAGAAGAGAAATGAAGGAATTAAGTTGTTATTGTTGAAAATGAATTTCACATTGATGGGAGGAGGAACTTTGCATAGATTTTTATTGTGGAACGTTAACTTTTTCATGATATCAGAGCAGCTTGTCCCACGTGTGAAGCCCAACGGTCACACACGTTTCACGTCATCCCGTTTGTGATTGTTCACGTGTTAGGTTTGAAATTTACCACACGTGAGGGGGGCGTGTTGAGAATGAATCTCATATTGAAGGGATGAGGGACCTTGCATATGAGCTTCTAAGTAAGTTGGTCTATTCATCATATTGCCAATTAATTTTATGATGTAACTCCAACTTTCTTCAGTTATTCCAAAATAAAATCAAATGTACATGGCCTCACATGAAGGATTGATGCCCTACTTATACACATGTTGACATTATTTCCTGACCTTGTGTGAGATACTTGGAGAAGAATCATCAATGCCTTGCCCAATATGTGTTTTATGTTACTTTCACCAACAAATTACGTATCACTAAGTGATATGAGCTTTGATGGTCTTATTTTCAGTCCCACACGTTATCATTCGAAATTGAGGGCAGCTAGAATAATTGATCATATGATCTTGAACATGTAACAAGATTTGGCAAAACCAAACTTGGGGCCATGACAATACTAGCCACCAACCATTTTTAAGAAAACTAAAGGAAAAGAAGGGAAAAAGCCAAAAGAAGAGGAGGACCACACATATAATTATACCCCTACCTTAGTGATTGTGTTTGATTGAGCATTATTGCTCTTAGAATGGCAATTTTGTCCTCTTGATCGATAGAAACCACAAAGTTGGATAGCTATAATGTGTGTTCCACAAGGTAATTATGGGTTTTTATTTTTATTTTTTTGTGATTGTCTCGCCATAGAGATTTTAAAACCAGAAAACATTAAACTTACTGCAAATTATAATATCATTTAAATTTCTAAATTTAGGATTGCTCCAGCTAAATCGACCTTTAACTTATGATTATTATTTGAGTAGTAGATTGCACTGAAGTTTAGAGTCCAACTTCTAGAGGTTGATATGTATTATTTTTACGTGTCGTGATTGGATTATACTTATAAAAAAATAATTACGTTAATTAGTAATAATTCAATATTTAAAATTGATAGTCATTTTAACATTATCCTAAAACATGCTCCAAAACTGCCTGTAAGTTTAATCATCAGTGAAAAAATGAATTTGGGTCTGCCATGTATACAGACAAATCATTTCGAGGTCAAAAAAATGAGAGATTTTTTAGTGTGACCGTCACACGGGATGATACACCACATGTCATTATATAAATAGTGGGATATATGTATCAAAAAGTTAATAACTTAAAAAATATAATTTTCTACTATTTACATAAAAAAAATACGTAATATATCATCCGTATACCCGTCACAATTAAAAATTTCTTCGAGACAACAATATAACACAATCATTCAGATGATAGCCTGGCTGGACCTTGCATTATTATCAAGTTCAATGGTTGTGGCAATTTGTAGTCCTTTTCTGCACACGTGGCTCTGTTTCGTGGCCTCTTTGCCCGCGCTAAATTTGAATGAGAGGTCATCTATTAGAAAATGTCACACTTTGCCATGTTCTTGGATATATATTTTGCTTACTCTTAAGCGAATAAATGACAATAAGTAGCAAAGTCCAATTTAATTAGCAATACCAAAATGAAAGCCAAACTTGTTTACTACTACTTTAGTGATGAATGAGTCAAAAACTTCTTACACATAAGTTATATTACTCAAAGCTCGTACGAATATGATCTACAATACTCACGTGTGACATTATATATGTATATATATAAAAAGAAAGACAAATTTGTCTACTATTTTATATGTTTTGATAAGCGATATTTTAAAACACTTTAATTTATAGAATTTATTTGTATTAGAGTGTGTATCAGTAACATGAACAATTTCTAAGTCCAAATGGCATTACTCTATAAAAAAAAAATTAAAAAAAAAGCCTCAAACTCAAAGACAAAAAGACGGACACACTACACCGGCCAACCAATTAACCTTACTTCCTTGTATGCATAACTAGATAAAATAGCCTTACTTCTTTGTATACAAAACCGAATATAAAAGCACCATTTCCTCGCATTATATAACCAAGTGATTTCCGTAATCCAATCCAACATCAATAACATGGATCATCATCCAATATCCGAAGACCCCAAAACCCCGCTTCTCCCTCTCCACGACCAAATCCAACGGTCGCAGAGCTTCCATTCATCCTTGAAATCCATTCTAACACTCAAGAACTTCTTCGTCCTCCTCGGACCTCTTCTGTGCACCATCATATGCCTCTGTGTGAAGCTAGATGGCCCGGTGGCCAGCTGGAACATGTTGGCAGTGCTGGTGTGGGTGTTTGCTTGGTGGCTCACGGAGGCCGTGCCCATGCCAATTACCTCCATGTCCCCACTCTTTCTCTTCCCTTTCTTTGGAATATCCTCTGCTGATGATGTTGCTCAATCTTACATGGACGATGTTATTGCCCTTCTTCTTGGAAGCTTTATATTGGCTCTTGCTGTTGAGCATTATAACATCCACAGAAGATTGGCCTTGAATGTGAGTTTCTCTAGCTACCATGCTTCTCTGCTAAGATGGATCACCTTAATGGTTATTTATGCTGTGATTATTATGCTTAATGGTTATTTTAGTACAAGCGTATAGATACATGAGAAAAACAAAGGAAGGGACCAAATGGCAAACATTTTACTTCTCTATTCATTCACAATTTCCCTCGGTTATTTTTGCATTTCTTGTTACATATGATAATTTTAAATTTGGTTTGCCTGGAAATTCATTGGATTAGATTTGAGAAATATGTCATTTACTAGTTAGTTCACTAACTAATCCCATAGATATATAATAGGGAACTTTAATGAAAAGCTCTCGGTACTGTTTACTTTAACGAAAAACCACATTTTTACATTAAAAAGTCAATCCTGATATTATTCACTTTACCCTTTATTTTGTCCTTATCATTAAAACTCAAATTTTTCAAACCATTTTCATTAGTTTTCCTATATCCTATCGAAATTTTAAATATTGAAAAAATATATTTGGCTATTTTTTCTTCCTAAATTAATGCACTTTTGTCCAAGAATACGGAAATGTAAGAGAGGAGCGCCAATAACGCTTTACTAATCCATGATAAATGTTACGTTAGAAAGGAAACGTGAATTTGAATTCTCATACATTTCATTCCAAAATCAACAAGAATCAAATGGATAGTCCTCCCTCCAATGACCCCAAAATCCCACTTCTCCCACTTGATGATCCAAATCCAAACCATAACTCACAAATCCGCTTCCCTTCTTCACTGGAATCCATTCTAACATCCAAGAACTTGTCCATCCTCCTGGGGCCTCTTTTGAGCACCGTTATTTGCCTCTGTGTCAACTTAGATGGCACCGTCGCTAGCCGGAATATGTTGGCAGTGCTTGCCTGGGTGTTTGCTTGGTGGCTCACGCAGGCCGTGCCGATGCCAGTTACCTCAATGTCCCCTCTCTTCCTCTTCCCGCTCTTCGGAATTGCCTCTGCAGATGATGTTGCCCACTCTTACACGAACGATGTTATTGCCCTCGTTCTTGGAAGCTTTATTTTGGCTCTCGCCGTTGAGCATTATAACATACACAAAAGATTGGCCTTGAATGTGAGTCCTCTTTTCATTGTTGTTTTCTCGTATTAACCCATTCACGTGATACATCGCTCACAGAATATTATTGGCATCAATAAAGCAAACATAAATACATCGCTCAAAGAAAACATAAATATATTTTCGACAACATTAATATGTGTCACAACTTGAGAATTGAGTGCCTTAGTGTCTGAACCCTACTAGGTGAGAGCCACATTGTGCTCGAACCCTGTCGTATACTATCCGCTTAGGGTTTTCAAAATAATTTCTTTTTTTGGATTCAAGCGATACTAGTGAAGGAGAAACAAACTTTGGACTTCCGGTATAAGAATAATTTATAGTAATGCTAAAGAGATCATCTATTTAAACTAAATTAGAGAAATTATATGATGTGGTTGTTGATGATTGAGAGAAATTTTTTAATGTGCTGAAAATACGACTCAGTACACCAAGTGTCATAATAAAATTGATTGGATTTTCTTTTTTCAAGTTTCCAACAAAGTGTATTATTACCCTTAATCAGTCGGGCAGTATTTACGGCACATTGAAAATTTTCTTGATGTTTGAATTATTATTTAAATATTAATTAACGTATTTATTTTTTCATTTACAAATTGGACAAGTTGATTTACCTAGTATTCCAGAACACAGATAACCCTGGTGATATGCGGAGATCCCTTGAATCCGCCATTGCTGCTGCTGGGAATATGTGGGGCCGCAGCATTCATCAGCATGTGGATGCACAACGTGGCAACTGCTGTGATGATGATGCCCGTAGCCACCGGCATTCTCCGGCGGTTTCCGACGGGTCCCAACCAGTCCGTGGTTGTGAGCAACTTTTGCAAAGCCGTGATTCTAGGGGTGTTGTACTCCA